TATAATACTGTATCATGACTAGTAGGTATATAACCTCCCTGTATTACACTGTACATGACTAGTATTCTATAACCTCCCAGTATATACTACTGTATCATGACGAGTAGGTCTATAAACCTCCCTGTATATACTGTATCATTACTAGGTAGGTCGATACCCTCCCTGTCTAATACTGTATCCTGACTAGTAGTTCTAGAACCGCCCTGTATAATATCATGACTAGTAGGTCCTATAAACCTCCCACCATACACTGTATCATGAACTAGGGGTCTATAACCTCCCTGTATAATATCATGACTAGTAGGTCTATAACCTCCAAGCATAATACTGTATCATGACTAGTAGGTCTATAACCTCCCTGTATAATACTGTATCATGACTAGTAGTTCTATAACCTCCCTGTATAATACTGTATCATGACTAGTCGTTCTATAACCTCCCTTATAACCCTGTTCATGACTAGGAGGTCTATAACCTCCTGTATAACACTGTATCTGACCTAGTAGTTATATAACCTCCCTGTATACTACTGTATCAAAATTGAGTAGTAGGTCTGTACCCCTTCCTGTATATACTGTATCATACTAGTAAGTGGTCCTATAACCTCCCTGTATAATTACATGACTAGTAAGGTCTATAACCTCCTGTGTAACACGTATCCTGACTTGTATGTCTATAACCCCCTGTATAATACTGTATCATGACTATAGGTCTATAACCCTCTCCTGTATAATACTGTATCATGACTAGTGGTCTATAACCTCCCTTATATTACTGTATCATGACTAGTATGTCTGCACCCTCCTGTATAATACTGTACGACTAGTAGAGGTCGATAACCGCCTGAATAACACTTGTATCATGACTAGTAGGTCTATAACCTCCCAGTATATATGTATCATGACTAGTTATGTCGATAACCTCCCTGTAATACTGTAATCATGACTATAGGTCTATAACTCCCAGTATACTACTGTATCACACTACTAGTAGGTCTATACCCTTCCCTGTATATACTGTATCATGACTAGTAGGCTTCTAGTCACCTCAACTGTATAATACGTTATCATGACTAGTAGGTCTATAACCTCCCTTAATATCTAGTATCATGACTATTAGGTCTATAACCTCCCTGTATAATACTGTATCATGAACTAGTATTTCTATACCTCCCTGTATAATATATACTGTATCATGACTAGTAGCGTCATAACCTCCCTGTATAATACTGTATCATGACTATTAGGTCTATACCTCCCTGTATATACTGTATCAGACTAGTAGTTTAGAACCTCCTGATAATACTGTATCATTAACCGAGGAACATGCGGCAGCTTGGGCCTGGGGTTTATAGAGGGACTTCCGTGTGCTCATCTTTCCTCATGACGGCATGGAAGCCATCCCCAACCACCTTCATCCAGCAGCAGGACGATAGTCGGCCAGCCTCTTTCTCTAGGATTACTTCACCGTAGTCCATTCCTGGTGTGTAATGTCAATTGGTATTCCTTGATTCCTTGCATCCTCTACTTGCCTCCTTCTCAAAAGCATTGAGGAAGATAGAAGAACCAAGATCACTCCATGTGCTTTGAGAGGGAGTCGGGGTCATTTAATATCGCGTTACATCAAAACACTATCAGCACAGACGGATATCGGCCAGCCTTCTCTAATGACTTCACAGTAGTCCTTCTAGGTGTTGTAATGATTAAAATTTCATTGATTCATTGCACCTTACGTTGCCTACCTTCCTCAAAGCTTTGAGAAGATCTATTGGAGAGGATCCTAAGTTATCCAGGCTGGAGGATAAATTTAAATATTATTGCGGTTAGTATGAAAAAAAATAAATATACAAATTAAATAAAATGGATGCACTCACTAACTGTAAGTCGCTCTGGATAAGAGCGTCTGCTAAATGACTAAAATGTAAATGTAAATGTAAATGTATTAGGTCTATAACCTCCCTGTGTAAGTGTTTACTCTATTGTGCTATGAGGTCTGAGCTTTTATGGCGCTGGAGATAAAGTGCACCACAGAGTTGCTGGTTCAAGCCCCACTCTGGCTTTCTCTGTCATCGTTGTGTTGCAAACATCCTGTCTGAATGAGATCTGATATCACCTCGTCTCACCGCGCCACCTGTGACCGCGCCCACATGACACATACGCATGAGCGTACAGGTGCTGTTGACACAGCATGAATCAAACAGTGAGATTTCCAACGACATTCATTATTCTCTTTCACACACACACAAATAAAACGTGTACAGGCTCGCGCACAAGTGCTCATACCCCTGACAGATCACTTTGGTTGGTGAGAACACTAGTTTTCTCACCAACGCGCTGGTTTATATTTTTTTTCCTTCTTGATAAGAGAACGGAGACAGTGAGAGAGACAGAGAGAGAGAGAGAGAGAGAGAGAGAGAGAGATCTACTTCACTTGCTTTGGCAATGTTAACACACGTTTCCCATGCCAATAAAGCCCTTAAATTGAATTGAATTGAATTGAGAGAGAGAGAGAGAGAGAGAGAGAGAGAGAGAGAGAGAGAGAGAGAGAGAGAGAAAATACCACAGTGTGCCATCACAGCAGCAAGATTTGTGACCTGTTGCCACAAGAAAAGGGCAACCAGTGAAGAACAAACACAATTGTAAATACAACTCATATTTATGTTTATTTATTTTCCCATTTGTACTTGAACTATTTGCACATTGTGACAACACTGTATATATACATAATATTACAATTGAAATGTCTTTATTCTTTTGGAACTTCTGAGTGTAATGTTTACTGTTAATATTTATTGTTTATTTCACTTTAGTTTACTATCTACTTCACTTACTTTGGCAATGTTAACACACGTTTCCCATGCCAATAAAGCCCTTAAATTGAATTGAATTGAGAGAGAGAGAGAGAGAGAGAGAGTGTGCGGTTAAAATTGGCAAAAAACATACACATTTCTTTCCACAGGGCCGTGGGGTGAGACAGGGATGCAGTTTAAGCCCCACCCTCTTCAACATATATATCAACGAATTGGCGAGGGCACTAGAACAGTCTGCAGCACCCGGCCTCACCCTACTAGAATCTGAAGTCAAATGTCTTCTGTTTGCTGACGATCTGGTGCTTCTGTCACCAACCAAGGAGGGCCTACAGCAGCACCTAGATCTTCTGCACATATTCTGTCAGACCTGGGCCCTGACAGTAAATCTCAGTAAGACAAAAATAATGGTGTTCCAAAAAAAGTCCAGTTGCCAGGACCACAAATACAAATTCCATCTAGACACCGTTGCCCTAGAGCACACAAAAAACTATACATACCTCGGCCTAAACATCAGCGCCACAGGTAACTTCCACAAAGCTGTGAACGATCTGAGAGACAAGGCAAGAAGGGCCTTCTATGCCATCAAAAGGAACATAAAATTTGACATACCAATTAGGATCTGGCTAAAAATACTTGAATCAGTTATAGAACCCATTGCCCTTTATGGTTCTGAGGTCTGGGGTCCGCTCACCAACCAAGAATTCACAAAATGGGACAAACACCAAATTGAGACTCTGCATGCAGAATTCTGCAAAATCATCCTCCGTGTACAACGTAAAACACCAAATAATGCATGCAGAGCAGAATTAGGCCAATACCCGCTAATTATCAAAATCCAGAAAAGAGCCGTTAAATTCTATAACCACTTAAAAGGAAGCGATTCCCAAACCTTCCATAACAAAGCCATCACCTACAGAGAGATGAACTTGGAGAAGAGTCCCCTAAGTAAGCTTGTCCTGGGGCTCTGTTCACAAACACAAACAGACCCCACACAGCCCCAGGACAACAACAACAACAACAACAACAACACAACTAGACCCAACCAAATCATGAGAAAACAAAAACAGAATTACTTGACACATTGGAAAGAACAAACAAAAAAACAGAGCAAACTAGAATGCTATTTGGCCCTAAACAGAGAGTACACAGTGGCAGAATACCTGACCACTGTGACTGACCCAAACTTAAGGAAAGCTTTGACTATGTAGAGACTCAGTGAGCATAGCCTTGCTATTGAGAAAGGCCGTCGTAGGCAGACCTGGCTCTCAAGAGAAGACAGGCTATGTGCACACTGCCCACAAAATGAGGTGGAAACTGAGCTGCACTTCCTAACCTCCTGCCAAATGTATGACCATATTAGAGACACATATTTCCCTCAGATTACAGCGATCCACAAAGAATTCGAAAACAAACCCAATTTTGATAAACTCCCTTATCTACTGGGTGAAAAACCACAGTGTGCCATCACAGCTGCAAGATTTGTGACCTGTTGCCACAAGAAAAGGGCAACCAGTGAAGAACAAACACCATTGTAAATACAACCCATATTTATGTTTATTTATTTTCCCATTTGTACTTTAACTATTTGCACATTGTTACAACACTGTATATATACATAATATGACATTTGAAATGTCTTTATTCTTTTGAAACTTCTGAGTGTAATGTTTACTGTTAATATTTATTGTTTATTTCACTTTTGTTTACTATCTACTTCACTTGCTTTGGCAATGTTAACACACGTTTCCCATGCCAATAAAGCCCTTAAATTGAATTGAATTGAATTGAGAGAGAGAGAGAGAGAGAGAGAGAGAGAGAGAGAGGGGGGGGGAGAGAGGGAGAGACGGGGGAGGATGAGGTAGAATATAGCGTCTTAGAGAGAGATGGGTAGCTCTTCGGCGATAGGATATTTTTTTCTTTCGGGAGAATAGATTCGATAGTCTCTCGATAATATTTTTTCTGATCTCTCTCGATCGCTCTCTCTCTCTCGCTCTAGCGCTCTTTCTACTCTCTCTCTCTCTCTCTCTCTCTCTCTCTCTCTCTCTCTCTCTCTCTCTCGCTCTCTCTCTCCCTTCTCTCTTCTCTCTCTCGACGACTATCCTAATTTGTTTAATGAGGGAACTAAAACATATGTTAATTAGTAGGCCTATAAAGTTGTGTGAGAAAGAAAGCTAGAAGAGAAATGAGGAGGCATCGAGCGACAGACGGTCTACCGCCGCGAGGCCCATCCCCGCAATGTCTCATCCCTGAACGTTTCACAACTACCGGTTGACTACGGCTGGAATTGTGACTGATCGACGTGCTGAGCATGTCAGGGCGAGTTTTATAGAAATGCGTTTGGAAATAAAATCAGTAACAAAAACGTATTTCAAGTTCATTTTGGGATGTTCGAGTCAGGAGGATGCATGAAGGACTTTGATTTTCCACTTTGACAACTCTAAACAAATTCTGTATTTCAAGACTGGGACTTCCAAGTTCGCCACAGGTCTCTATAACAGCCCGACTTGTTGCTATCGAAATTATATCTAGTCTATGTCACTCATCTTTCTTAGTTTGAACAACTGGCAATATTAAATTAAACGTTTAACCACTAACTGGATAAAACAAGAAGATGTTGGATAAATATTCTCGGCACAGCCCCGGCGGTGCGCCCGTCCTGAACCCGGACCTGCAACTCAAACTACCGGAGAGTAATTTGGGTACCAGAGCCCAAGAGAAGGATAACGGGACAGGGCCGAAACTGGTGGAGATAACGGGACCGGCGCTGTCCAAACGGAAACTACTGGTCGGTCTGGACCTGCTCTGTCTGCTTCTGGGTAAATACAACTTTGGCTATTATCTTTTTATCAGATTATCTTTTTATAATTCATCAAAAAAAAAAATACGATTTTATCACATCTATTTATTATTTATTTGGCCATTTTATCAGATCAACTTTTTATAATTTAAGCCTACCTGGACCTGCGTTGCCTTTTTCTGCTTTAATAAAACGATCTTCAAGTTATTAGCCTATAAAACATTTTCATCAATCATTTAATGGTTTATTGTTATGATATAGCTATATTACAAATAATGGTTTATTGTTAGGATATAGCTATATTACAAATAATGGTTTATTGTTAGGATATAGCTATATTACAAATAATGGTTTATTGCGTAATGGGCCACTCATTTGCATCGCCTCTGACGTTTTTAAAACTTGTTCTACTTTTTATTTTTCATCAAACTTTATTGACTACAATTAATTTTTTATAACGCGCCTTGAAAGCTTTTTATTAAAAGTATGTGGACACCCCTGCAAATGAGTGGATTCGGCTATTTCAGCCACACCCGTTGCGGACAGGTATATAAAATCGAGCTCACAGCCATGCAACGTCCATAGACAAACATCGGCAGTAAAATAGCCTTACTGAAGAGCTCAGTGACTTTCAACGAGGCAACACCTTTCTAACAAGTCAGTTCGTCAAATTTCTGCCCTGCTAGAGCTTCCCCGATCAACTGTAAGTGCTGGTATTGTGAAGTGGAAACGTCAAGGAGCAACAACTGCTCAGCCGCGAAGTGGAAAGGTGACGTAGCCTAGGCAAACTTTCATGAACTATTCAAATGTTGATATTTGAATATTTTGCGAATTGATTGAAATGTATTTGACTCTGAGATAGGAGCCTATAGTTTCGTTTTTGTTTCGTATCTAGGCTATTTATGCTACACAGTGGACGAAATGAGCACTCACACAAATCAACAGGTTGAGCTATATTATAATAAACCATTTCTTCAACAAAAACAAAATAAATTGAGAGAAATAAATTGAACGCTCTAAATAATTCTCACTCTGCGTTCTCTCTCGCTCGATCACTCGCTCATCACACACTAAAGCGCTGCACGCAAGCTCTCGATGCCAGTTGGCTCGAGCTGGCCAAGGGAATTCTACAGTTTCCATGACAACCAAGGTTCAGGGAAGAGCGAGGCCTTGGGAATTGTGTGCAGTACAAATAAATAAATAAACAATCCCTGTGTGTGTTTTTAAATCAAACTGACCTCCATTTCTTCTGGTGTGTGTGTGCACTCCCTTTATGCATCTGACAACATTTCACAAACTGCGGTTATGTAAGAGCAGCTAATTCACAAAGGTTCTGTCCCAAATGACACCCTATTCCCTATATACAGTGTCCCAAATGACACCCTATTCCCTATATACAGTGTCCCAAATGACACCCTATTCCCTATATACAGTGTCCCAAATGACACCCTATTCCCTATATACAGTGGGGAGAACAAGTATTTGATACACTGCCGATTTTGCAGGTTTGTGCAAAAACATTCATTTAGACCGGCCGACTGGGCTAAAGATGGACCAATTTGCCCAAGCTGGCCTATGACCAGTCCACCCTATATGGGATGTACATGTGAGGACCAGTACACTGGACAAAGCTATGGGGAGTCCCTTGTTGTCTAGAGTAGGAGTGCTGGTCTAGGATCAGGACCCCACCTGTCCATGTAATTGTATGTATTGTGATCTACAAGGCAGAACTGGTCCTAGATCAGCCCTCCTACTCTGAGACGCTTGAAACAGTCCAGTCAGACTGCTGATAGGAAGAACACAAGACAGATACTATCGATGTTGTGTATAATGGTTCTAGAGAGAGGAGAGGAAGAGAGAGACAGAGAGAGGAGAGAGGAGAGGAAGAGAGAGATGGAAAGAGAGAATGAGTAAGAGAGCGAGAGAGAAAGAAAAGAGAGTGTGTGTGTGGAGAAGACAGTGTGTGTGTGTGTGTAGGAGACAGACAGTGCTAGCTCAGTCCCACAGTCTCTCTTTGTTTGGTTGAAATGTTAGAGAGTTGAACTGGTCTCACAAACAACCGCTCCTCTCCCCTCCTCTCTCCTCCCCTCCTCTCTCCTCTCCTCTCCTCTCCTCTCCTCTCCTCTCCTCTCCTCTCCTCTCCTCTCCTCTCCTCTCCTCTCCTCTCCTCTCCTCTCCTCTCCTCTCCTCTCCTCTCCTCTCCTCTCCTCTCCTCTCCCCTCCCCTCCTCTCTCCCTTCCTCTCTCCCCCTCCTCTCCCTTCCTCTCTCCCCCTCCCCTCCTCTCCTCTCTCCCTTCCTCTCTCCCCCTCCCCTCCTCTCTCTCCTCCCCCTCCCCTCCTCTCTCCTCCTCCCCTCCCCACCCCTCCTCTCTCCCCCTCCTCTCCTCCCCATTTCCTCCTCTCCTTTTCTCCTCCTCCTCTTCCCTCTCCTCTCCTCTCATCTCATCTCCTCTTCTCTCCACTCCTCTCTTCTCTTCCTAATTCCCCCTCTTTCTTTTCTCTCCTTCCCTCCCCCCTCTCCTCCTCCCCTCGTATACTGGTCTCAGTTCAGATCTAATGGGATCCATAACATGTCATAATAGGGATTGTAATGTTGTGCACTGGTCCCAGTTCAGATCTAATGGTATCCATAACATGTCATAATAGGGATTGTAATGTTGTTCACTGGTCCCAGTTCAGATCTTCCAGTGCCTTATTCAGGTCCCAGTGGTGTTGTGACCTCACATTCCAGCAGTGTGTCTAACCCTTTAGTTTCTCTAGAGAAAAACCCTGGGTTCCCACTCTCCCTCCCTCTCTCTCTTTCCCTCTACCTCTCTCTTTCCTTTTCCCCCCTTTTGGTCCCTCGCTCTCTTTCTCCAACCCCCGCTCCCCTTCATATGAGCTTCTACCACAGAGAGGAGATTTAAACAATCATATGGTCAGTGTTTTAGAAGGACGTTGTATGTCAATGTGATGTTTTGGGCCAGGATTCAATCCGAACACATTTGTGGTGATGTTGTACGAATGTAGGTCAATGTTATGGTTTACTGTGAGCTTTTAAAGAATGGTTCTATACTGTGTAATGTAGCTTACGATGCAAAACCACATTTCTGTCAAGAAGACAAGTATGGTCTGATCTCATCTCTCTCTCTCTTCACCTCCACTTCTTTCTTTCACTATCTCGTCTCTCTCCACCTCCACTTCTGTCTTTCACTATCTCTGTCTCTCTACCTCCACTTCTGTCTTTCACTATCTCTGCTCTCTCTACCCTCCACTTTCTGTCTTTCACTATCTCCTCTCTCTCTCCACCTCCACTTCTGTCTTTCACTATCTCTCTCTCTCTCTACCTCCACTTCTGTCTTTCACTATCTCTCTCTCTCTCTCTCCACCTCCACTTCTGTCTTTCACTATCTCTGTCTCTCTACCTCCACTTCTGTCTTTCACTATCTCTCTCTCTCTACCTCCACTTCTGTCTTTCACTATCTCTCTCTCTCTACCTCCACTTCTGTCTTTCACTATCTCTCTCTCTTTCTCTCTACCTCTATTTCTTCCTCTCTCTGGTTCTTTATGTTTGACAGGCTGTAGCCTCATCCCTTTGTTTCAGAGAGTTTGTGTGTGTGGGTTTGTTTTAGGTCTCTATCTCTCCTTTAATCCCCCCCCCTCCTCTCTCTCTTATCTTATTCTCTTCTCTCTACCTTTCTCTCTCTTCTCTCTGTTTCTTCCTCTCTTCCTCTGTTCTTCCGTCTTAAAAAACCCCCTTTCCCCCCCTTTCCCCCTTCCCCCCCCCTTTTTTCCTTTTCCCTTTGTCCCTTTCTCGCCCCCAACCCCCTTTCCTTTTTTCATATTTTTTCCCCCCCTTTTTTCTTTTTCATTTTTTTTTTTCCCCCAATTTTGTTTTAAATTTCCTTTTTTTTAAATTTTTTTATTTCTTTTTTTTTCCCCCCCACTTTTGTTTTTAATTTGTTTAAAACCCCACTTCTGTCCCCCTTTTGTTCTTTCCCCCTCTTTTTTCTTTCACTACTTTCTTTTCCCTTTTCTGCTTTCCTCCCCTCCCTTTCTTTTTCCCTCTTTTTTCTTCTCTGGGGGTTTTTTGTTTGGGGGGAGTTTTGGCAGAGTTTTTTGGGGGGGGGGGTTTTTTTTAAAAACCCCCAAAAAAAATCCCCCCCCTTTTTTTTCTTTTTTTCCTATCCCTTTTCTTTCTTCTATTTCTCTTTTATTTTCTTTTTTTCTTTTTTCTTTTTCCTTCTTTTTCCCCTTTTTTTTTTCCCCTTTTCTTCCCCCCCCCCTCCCTCCCCCCCCCCTTTTTCCCCCTTTCCCTCTCCCTCTTCTTCCTTCCTTTTTTTGTCCTCCCCTTTTTGGGTTATTTTTTTTTTTTTTTTTTTCCCCCTTCCCCTTTTTCCCTTTTTCCCTTTTTTTTCCCGCCCCCCTTTTTCCTCCCCTTTTTTCTTTTTTTTTTTTTGTCTCCCCTTTATCTGGCTCCCTTTTCCTTTCCCTGGTTTCCCCTCGGTTTCTGGGGTTTTTGTTTCCCCCGGTCCCTTCTCTCTCTCTCTCCCTTTCTCTCCCCTTTTGATCATAAGTTATTAAACTTTTTTGGGCAAATACATCTGTTAACCCCCCCTCCGGGCCCCCCCCCCCCCCTCTCTCTCTCACCCCCACCCTCCCTCCCCCTCCCCGCAGCCTCCATCCCGTTTTTTGTGTGTGAGTAAGCTGAAGGCCAGTGAGTCCATATCGAAGAGGGTTTTTCTGTGGTGATCCCAGCATCATGTATCCATACCTACACACAGAGGCTATACCAGATCACCTGCTCATTACTGGTGGGATCATCATCACCGGACTCACTGTGAGTATCACACACTCTTCATCATCATCATCATTAGCATCATCATCATCATCACATCATTGTTAAACAATAGTACATGTAATAACCTATTCTCAGAACCCATAATAATAATAATAATAATACATCTCGTGATTGTCAGTTCAGTTCTTCTCTCGTGTTTGTCACCAGACTAATATCCAAACAATCACTATTGCTCATCACCCTCCCCCTCCCTCCCTCCCCTCCATCCCTCCCCTCCCTCCCTCCCTCCCTCCCTCCCTACCTCCCTCCCTCCCTCCCTCCCTCACTACAGATAGCTTTAGGGGAGTGTTACCGGGTGCATTACCGAGGGGTCAGCTCCAAAGCCTTCATCAGGAACCTCTACGTCTCATGCCTGTATAAGGTACTGCAAGCCCCCTCATGCATTCATCAAGTTTTAATAACATAAGATGCTATAACATTCGTCATAGGCAGTCATAAACATTATGAACAAGTGGTAGGCACAATTTCATTGTTATTTGTTGCCCATATAAGAAGTTGGGTTCCTTCCTGTTTGGCTATATATTTATTTATGTATTTCTTTATTTCTGTAAGGAGTTAGGTTCCTTCCTGTTCGGCTGCTTCGTCAGCCAATCCCTGACCAACATGGCCAAGCTGAGTGTGGGGCGGCTGCGACCTCACTTCCTGTCTGTGTGTGGCGTCTCGTACGTCTCGCTCAACTGCACCCCCGGAACCTACGTCTCCACGGTAACCTGTAGAAAGACAGACCACCGACTGGAGGAGGAGGCCAGGTGTGTGTGTGTGTGTGTGTGTGGGGGGGGGGGGGGGGGGGTGAGGGCAGGTGTGTGTGTGGGGGGGGGTGAGGGCAGGTGTGTGTGTGGGGGGTGAGAGCAGGTGTGTGTGGGGGGGTGAGGGCAGGTGTGTGTGGGGGGGTGAGGGCAGGTGTGTGGGGGGGGTGAGGGTAGGTGTGTGTGTTGTGGGGGGGTGAGGGCAAGGTGTGTGTGGGGGGGTGAGGGCATGTGTGTGTGTGTGGGGGGGGAGGTGTTGTGTGTGGGGGGGGGTGAGGGAGGTGTGTGTGGGGGGGGGTGAGGGCAGGTGTGTGTGTGGGGGGGTGAGGGCAGGTGTGTGTGTGGGGGGGTGAGGGCAGGTGTGTGTGTGGGGGGGGGGTGAGGGGGTGTGGCGTTGTGTGTGGGGGGCAGGTGTTGTGTGGGGGGGTGAGGGCAGTTTTTGTGTTTGGGGGGCGTGGTGAGGAGTGTTGTGTGGGGGGTGTGAGGGCAGGGGTTTGGGGGGGGTTTGGTGTGGGGGGTGGGGCAGGTTGTTGTGTGGGGGGGAGGCAGGTGTTTGTGTGGTGGGGGTGGAGTGGATGTGTGGGGGGGGCAGGTGTGTGTGTGGGGGGGGGGTGGGGAGGTGTTTTGTGTGTGTGGGGGGTGAGGGCAGGTGTGTGTGTGTGGGGGGGGCAGGTGTGTGTGTGTGGGGGGGGTGTCGAGGGCAGGTGTGTGTGTGTGGGGGGGGGGGTGTGAGGGCAGGTGTGTGGGTAGTGGGTGGAGTAAGCATGTTGTTTATTTGTATTAGGAAATCCTTTTTTTGGTCATGCTGGTTTGCGATTACACATGCTGATTAGCGGGT